CATATATTTAGTTTTAGTAGATTTTGTAGCTTTAGTTTTCCAAAGTTACTGTACTAATTGTTTTCCTACCAACGGCATACACAATTTCCAGTTACTTCATAAAGTTCTCGCCAGTGTTTGGTATTGTTGATCATGAGTTTTAGCCATTCCAGTGAGTGTGTAGTGGTTTTAATTTGTATTTGTCTGAGGACCAATTGAACCAGAGTTTGTTTGTTCTAATTTGTCTTATTTTGTTTTATCACATATTTTCAAACTACTGCCCCTGAGATCTTGATTCATTGAGTCCCCTGAGGTGAGGCACCTGGTGATTGTATCCACCAAGCGATCCTGAGGCCATGACACCTCTGGATAAGAATTCAGGCATTTGTCAGCACTGACTAACGGTTTATTTTAAAAAGTCTCCAGGAATGTTTTCACACTCTGTTAAGGAGATGGTCACGACAAATAAAATTTTCAACTTGAAACCCATTAAAGAGATTGGGCTATGATTAAACATCTTCAATATCTGATTAAGTAAACTGAAGAAATTTCACGTTGCAACCCTGAAAATTGCAACTACTGCTATTTCTAGTTTGTATTCCTTTGTTAGATTTACCTTTATAAGATGTTCTTCCATAAAGAAGGGTGTGTTCAGAAGTGAGAAGATGGTTATTTTCGCATTAATAATAGTGCATACTCTTTATGGACTCTTGTTTGCTAGATTAATTAGACATAGATCTATTTGAAATGCATCCCTTTAGAGGGAAAAAAAAAATCTATGACAGACCAGGTAAATCAAGAATGAAAAGAAACAGAGGGACCTTAACCTGCATACCTTTCATTGTGAACCTGAAGGAAAACTTTCGCAGTAGAAACAAAAAAATGTTTTGTCAGCAAATGTAGCCCATCTTTGGAGAAAAGGATCTCATCTGATCTCCTGACGGGAGGTGAGCGACACCACAGCTTCATTACCACATGCTCAAGTAGGGTATGTCAGTAGTTACAAAAGCAGAGGACCTTTCTCGTCCACCTGGAAATATTCTACCTTACCAATAAGAAAGAGTAGGATGGGGGGGGGCGGTGTAACTCAGTGGTAGAGCCCATGCTTAGCATGTACAGGGTCCCAGGTTCAATCCCCAGTATCTCCATCAAATAAATAAATAAACCTAATTACCTCTCCTCCAAAAAAAAAAAAAAAAGAGAGAGTAGGCTTGCTTCCCTAGGCTTAAGCTTTTGTGCCATCTGGTTAAAAAAATACATAATGTTTTGAATATTTAGAGGCATTATCTGGGCACCCCCAACTTCTGCGAGGGACACTAACACCAGGGCCTTTTGGTTTCAGATAGAATAAAACTATGCATTAAGGAAGGTCAGGATCATGTGAACCGATTTATTATTGGTGGTTCTCCTCACAGAACCATCTGGTCCTCTTCACGGAAAACTCGTGAAGGCTTTCCTTAGCAGTACTTACTTGCTTTCCACGTAAAGTTCAATTTAAGAGTTTGATACTGCAGCCTATTAGACCTCTGATGGGTGCTAATTATTACTCTTCATGCCTTCTGAATTAAGAGACAGGAAATAATTGTACACACATAAGCAAACCCTAAGCTGATGTTCGGTTCTCAGAAACATGATACCAGCATTACTTAGAAAGAGCAGTAAGTTGGAAACCCAAGTGAGCCAGAAAGCAGTAAACAGTCTGCCCAACTACTCATGGGGTAGTCACATGTCTTTACAAGGTGGAACAGAAGTTTCTTTTTTCAGACCAGTTGGTTAACTTTGGCTGGAAACTTTATGTTAGAGAATATTTAGATACCATGCATGCTGACAAGATACGCAGAGTTGAGTCTCTAGTCAAATTAACATGAGTAAAATCACTAAAACTTTGAAGATGATGCGTTATCTGAGCCCAAAGTGGTAAAGCAGTGTCCCCTTCCCCTTTAAGTCCCCTGTAGCCGTGTTGTTTGAAATGGTTTGCTGTTCATTTAAAGGCCTTTTCTTCCATGAGCTTGCTAGTGAATAAAATGAAAGTTTCTGTCTGATTCTTGCCTTTTAGAAATATACAGAAGTCTTCCCATATTGTAAACAAGATTTAAAAAAAAAGGACTTTTAAATCTGGTTCTTTTTATTATTTTTCTATTCATTTTTCTTTTCTCCCCCCCCCCCCCGGGAAGTTGAGAGGATCTTGAAGCTATAGAGTGAAAACACTTTAGTCATTCACAGGCGGGAGAAAGGGAAGGTTAAAAATGAGACGATCCCATTGTGTTAATAAAACAGACAATAGTTATTGCTTGATGGGGTGACTTTTTTCCCACTTACGATGAATCACTCAGTTCATGTAGTGTATAGCCATCTAGTTTAGAAAAAATACTAAAGGAAAAGTGTTATCTGTAAAAACAACCACCTGGAAAAGTTATTTTAGGAGTTACAGTGGAAAAGTAGAATTCATACTGTTTTATGTAGTAATGTATTCCCAGTGTTCACTTGCATTTCGTTCAGTCAAAACTAAAAATTGAACTGGATTATACTGTCTTACCATATCTCTATGGTAGAAGAAAGGAGAAATACATAAAATATACTTGTGAATGCACCCTGTAGGATCCAGCAGCTGCTTTCTGATCCCTCTGCTTTTTTTTCCTCTCCAGTGTTGAATATATTCTTCTTAAGCTTTTTATTTTATTTTTTATTTTTATTGAAGTATCATTGATTTACAATGTTGTGTTAATTTCTGGTGTACAACACAGTGCCTCAGATACATCTGTATATTGTTTCTCATACTCTTTCATTACAGGTTATTTTATTGTAACCTATTAAATGTAGTTCCCTGTGCTATACAGTAGACCTTCTTGTTTATCCATTTTATATGTAGTACTGTGTACTGCTGATCCCAAATGTCCCCCATTTCCCCTTTGGTAACTGTAAGTTTGTTTTCTGTGTCTGTTAGTCTCTTTCTGTTTTATAAACAAGTTCATTTGTATTGTATCATTTTTTTAAGCTCCTTAAAGGGTAAATATTTTTCATAGTTTTAAGTTTGATAATCCACGAGTATTTACTCTAAGTCACTGATACGTTCATGGCATTTTAAATCCCCTTAAATAAATCTCTTTATATTTGTAACAAAATCAAAACAGCAAGACAGTTCATAAGGTATGCTATATACACTATAATCAGTGTCATTTAGACATGGTGAAGTAGTTATCAGTTCCCATGAAATGTTGGCATGATGTTGTATAAATGTCCAAAAATTCATTTCTCTTTTCTCACCACTTTGTGTTCTGGCCCTTCATCAATAAGAAAGAATTAACTAATTAATCCCTGTCATAAAGTGTTAGATTTTGTTGGGTGAGCCTGTATGAAGACTTGATGTTGCATGAAGCATAACAAAGCCAGAACGTTGGAAATTAGCTCCACTTCTGTGTACTCGGGCCAGATTGTCCAACTGAAAGATATTTCTGTACTCAGTTAGCACCTAGTAGGGCTCACAAGTTTCTGGAGGAGCAAATTCCAAAGCGCAGGTGCATGCAAATGGGTCTTGCAGATTCAGGGGGTGCCTGGCTTCCATGTCTTCCAACCTGACATAGAGAAAGTGCTAAGTGAGTTTCAGCTGGGTGAAGGAAATATTTTTGAGCATCTGCCCCAGGAGTTCTGATTCTTTTTGTTTGTTTGGGGGACCCACAATTAATGATTAATTAAATCAAACTAATTAAAGATAGCCATACTAATATGTTTTTTTTTAAATGGAGGTACTGGGGATTGAACCCAGGACCTTGTGCATGCTAAGCATACACTCTACCACTATACCCTCCCCTCCCTAATACTAATATATTATTCAAGCTTTACAGTTAGGATATGAGCTTCTTTGCCTAGCAAGAAGAGTTTTTAAATGAACTCTGTAAACTTGGCTGTGGTGCATGTATGGATGTTAAAGTTGAATACAAAAAGACAGTATCAAAAGCACGTGGACTTTTTCTGTAGAATCTGGAGAACAGAGCTGACATGTGGCTCTTCCCTGAGGAATTGACAGACCAAGTGACCTGCCTTTGATTCTATTCTGTAGAACATATTAACTCTCTTACCACTTCTTAGCATCTTTAGGTAATGTTTTGTTGTGGAAGTCTCAGTTTCAACCCAGTCTTTTCTATTCTAATATAAACAGGCAAGAAACAGATTTGTTTATTCAAATATGAGCATTTACCTTTTTTTTAAATTGATTTATAGCTCCGTATTCCTAACCAGACTAACAGAGAATTTTTGTTTTCGGCCCTCAAAAATTTCCTTGGTTGTGTCAATAATTACAGCGTTTTTTTTTCCTAATTTTTTAACTTGTTTTCAAATTACTTCATTCTACACAATTTAGCAATTTTTTCCTGTCTTCTCAAAGCATAGTTAAGTGCTTAATAAATTACTTCTTTACCTGTTGAGCCCTTCTGCATGAAGATACTACAGAAACCAATAAATGGCAAAGGAGGCTATGAGCTGAGAGGAGAAGTGATGTCAAAGAGAAGCTCTTTCCCTGAATGTGAATCCTGGAATTAGACATATTTCTCCCCAGTCGGCTGGGAAGTAGAAAGAAATGAATGAATAGCAAAATAAATGGGGTGAAGAGCTGGCCCTGGCACACACAGCGCCACGGGCCTGTAGATACCACGTAAAAAAGTGGATCTCCTTGGAAGGTTGGCTTGGCTTAGCACTTACTATGGGGGAATAAAATCCGCTGCTTGTGTTAACATCTTCATTCCCAGTAGCCTTAAAACCAAAGAATGTTCAAGGCCAGTGTTAACCTTGGCTTTCCTCGAGCCTCTGGAAGAAGGAGCCCTAATTCTCAGATGTCTTTGAGAAGAACCAGTTATTTTCTGTGTCAAGGTTGCCATTTAGGGAGAATGTATTTTAACGGACGTTGTCCTAGTTTATCCTATTTTCATGTGTTTAAACAAATTTATCTCCAGCCTTTCAAGTAGCTTTGTTTGAGAAACAATTCTTAAAACGGCGTAGACAATGATGGTCACGCTTGGATGTTGCAGATCCTGTGAAGCCTCCTGGCAACTCCTTACAAGCACCGGCTGATTTACCGTTAGCGATAAACACAGCACCGCCCTCCGCCCAGGTGGATTCCTCCGCTGCTCCTCCTCCTCCGTATCAGCTAATCAGCCTTCCGCCACACCTGGAAACTCTTGGCATCCAGGAGGACCCTCAAGACTACCTCTTGCTCATCAACTGTCAAAGCAAGAAGCCTGAACCCCCCAGGTAAACCGCGTCCGTCTGCGCAAGTGCGCGCGCGTCCGTGCGCGCATATCTTTAGGAAGCTCACCTTTAAACTTTTTTAACCCTCATTTGAAGGCTTAAAAGAAACCACCTATAGAAGCTTATATTTTAGGCGTATATTTCAGGTGTATGTTCCCCGACTAATGATGTCTGATGTTCAGGAGATTTTATTAAAGAAACACGTTCTCTATAATTTTTGGCAGAGAACACTTGTACCTACAAGGCTCTTTTGGAAATGTGTCTCCTGTGTCATAGTCGTTGTTACAGACTCACAGTATTACTTGCTTAACAGATTTCACTGATTTATAAATGGTGATCTTGCTCCATTTCTTATGTGATTGTAAACCAGCCAAGGGTCATCTTTTGTTTCTGAAGAAGGAGAGGAATATCTACTGCTAGAAGATTTTGAAAGCAAAACGATTCCATTGCAGTGAGTGTGTTGTGGTTGCTTTGGATCTGTGTGAGAAATTAATCATGCAGGTAAAATCCCAGTATAGCAAATTCTATGGAATAAACCAATCGGGCATCAGTGAAATTTGATGAAGTCAAATATATTGCTAAAAACTACGAAACTTTTGAATCTTCATACCTAGCAATGAAGCAGACCTTACAACAAGACTTGACTTGACAGATTTTTAAGTAGAACGGAGTATATGGATTTCCGTGATTACCAAGGCTATCCTAAAACCTTTCCCAGAGCCTGATTTACCTGTCATCTCCAGCTTTGCTTCCATACCCCTCTCTTCTTTCAAGCTATAAGATATTTTAATCTGATCGTTCTTGTCATTTGATGTTGGATAATTGGAAGGCTTAAATTAAAGTAATAGTGACAGTTGGAGTCAGAAATTAACTAGAAGATCTGTTTTACCATTAGCAGCTATGTGATAACTAGTGACATGGGTGTATTTATTATCTTAATTTGCAGTATGAAGGGCAGAGGTGAATTGCATTGAGAGGTGAAAGATTTTTTTTAAACAGATGTTAGATGGAGGCATTATTTTTATAACAAAAAAATTTTTTTCATGTAGAAAGTGACTGTTACTAGGCTCTGGGATCATACAAAACACTTGTTCAAAAATTTTTAAGTAGAATTGGTTAAGATCCACAAATTAGTTCCTGTAAACCATTCCCTGAGATAATGGAAACAGCTAACAAACCTTTCAAAGATGAGTTTCTATATATTTGTTGTAATGGGATTTTACCTGTAAGAGCAAAAAAAAATTTTTTTATAAATCAGCACCAGTTAATAATATCAAATTCTAACTTGATTTTTGCTTGTTTGCTGTGAGTATTTAAAATTATACACTTGCAACTTTGTTGCCTATGCTACTAACTAAGATTTTATTTTAGGGAGAGCCACAGTTATTTTTCCATATCAATTTTTCAAAAGCCAACAGCCAAGTAACAGTTTTCAGTACGTTTTCTTTTTATATAGTGTCTTTCATGGATCTCATTGGTATCACAGTTTTCCTGCTGTAGTAGAAATTATGATGTGGATCATTGCTCAGATATATTTTGTATCTATGTTTTGCAGCAGCAACAGTTAAATAGCAAATATTTATGAAGTACCCACTATGTGCCCACTGTTTTGTGGGTGCTATGAAGGTACAAACTTATTACATAAGGTACAGCCCCCTCCGATGCAGTCTCCTTGAGAGTTTATAAGTAAAGCTTGTGAAGAAGTCAAAACATGCAAGCATTAGGTATCTAGGGATGAAGGCAAGATATGAGCATTGCCTTGCAAACTCTTGTTCATTGTGCAAGACTCAGCTTAGACATCTGCTCCTCTGGAAGACATTCCCCCAAATTCCCAGGCCGGATTTAATGCTCTCTGGATTTTCATAGCACCCTGGTTGTGCCTCTATATCTCCGCTTTATCACAGAATTGGAAATAGCTTGATAATTGTATTTATTCTCCACCAACCCATAAGCTGATGTCAAGGCCAAGGAACTCAGTACTCATTGTACTTCTAGCTTCTCTTAACTTCATATTAGAATTAAATCAAGTGCAAATCTCAGAATATGTGTGAGAAGTTCCTAGGAAGAATAGTGCAAATGGTTTTGAAATGGAGGGTGAGCGGTCTCACAGGAGGAGTAGGATTTGAACCACACCTGGTTGGTGAGAGAAAAGGAGACTGTCATTAATAATTTACATCCAAATAGCTTGAGGGGCAGGGGAGGTGAGAACGAGAGTGACGGGAGGAGAGGCTGCCGGGAGAAAAGGTTTCCACTTGGGGAGTGGTAGGACCTAAGATAGGAAGGTGGAACCAGGTTTTGATTGCCTCAGTGCCAGGTGGCATCGTTTGTGGGCTTTTTGTAGGTCCCACAGCCTGGAGGGACTCTCAAGAGGATTTTCTCTTGACTACGTGAGTGATATGAAATCATATTTTGAAAACACTGATCTTCCAGCAGTACTGGCTACATGGCTGGTACCCAGGATAGATCGGAAGAGGGAGAAACGAGAAGAAATAAGTTCTCTGAGGAGGGGTCAGTGGTCTAGATCTCAGCAGAGACATGGACCTGAACCTGGGGTGGTGATGGTGGGAACAAAGCAGCATAGTAGGTACTTGGTTAGGAAAAAGGACTCTGTGCCCGAGGGATGGTAGAGATCAAAGTGAATGAGTAAAAGCTGAATTGGGTTTAGAGTGTAGAGAACCTACATTAAAGGCATTTCTTTTCATGGCAAGTCAGAGAGGGCAATCAGTTTGAGAAGTAAATTAAATTTGGTGCACAGGAGCAAGGTAATACTGGGATAATCAAGTAGAAATATATTTGAACGGTTTGAAAGTACAGGACTCGGAGTTTCATGAGAAGATGCGAGTTGTCAGCTTTCAGTAGAAGGTGAAGTTATGAGAAAGAAGGAGTTTTTAATGGTTTTTTTTTTAATGATTTTTGTAAAGACTCACAGGACTGATTTCTGTTAGCCATTTCCAGGTGGAGAGACAGGAAGAAGGAGTCAGTCAATGAAATAAGGACATAGTCAGTGAGGGAGAAGGAAAATCAGGGCATTGACATCGCTGTGAGGGTTCTCTGGTACTAGAGGGGGAGAGGTCCAGGGAAGAGATGCAGTTACACAATGCCAGATGTTACCAAGAAATCAGGGAGATACGCCCTTAGAAAAACTATCACAAGGTATTATTTTTTTAATATTGAGTTTAAGGTCCTCCAGGGCTTTGGACAACATACGTAGGTAGTTAAGCTATCTTGTTTAGCATTAAGGAAGGATGCTTGTTCTGGTATTGGTAGCTTTGTTTTGGTTTATTCCCAAATTTTGTGATACCGCAACATACAGAGACTGAAAATGTACCAAAGTGTGAAATTTACTCTAATGAGATTTCTCGAAGTTCATTCTTATTTGCAGTTGGCTAACTCTGTGGCTTGGATTTTGAACCTCTTTATAGTACTGGCTAAATATTTGTTAAAGAAAATTAGTAGAAAGGAAGGTATGCAAAACCTGTCGTGTTGCCACCTCCTTGGAGATTACGTTGAATTTATTCAGTACCAAGTAATCATTAGACTTTTTGTTTCACAGAACAGTAAATTTGCGCAGGTGGGCAAAAGAGCAGTGGACCAACTTGGTAAACTGTTGGCCTGGGGTTTTGCATGCTCTTCAGAGGAAGTGCTTTCCTTGTGTCTGTGCCTGAATCATTTACCTTTCTACGAGTTTGGTACCTTTCTAATTCCAGTGCTTCAGGGATTGTGGTTTTATGTGTGGATTTACTAGGTGGGGTTGGGGGTGTGGGCAGGTACAGGACAGGAATTAGTGAGAATGCTTTCGGTTTTGTGGTGGCGGTTTTGTTACCTGGCATATAATCATAAAAAACTAAGGAATATCCGTGCTTTAAATCAGATGGATCATACACACACACACACACACACACACACACACACACACACAGTCTAATGAAAAAGCCATGGATTTTGATTGCTAAGCTCCAAATATATCTCTGCAAACGCAGGCTTATGTCCTCACCGTGTTTTATCTTCTGTCATTAACTATTTTTATCTAGAACACACACTGATTCTGCCAAATCCACCTCTTCTGAGACAGACTGCAATGATAACGTCCCTTCTCATAAAAACCCTGCTTCCTCCCAGAGCAAACACGGAGTGAATGGCTTTTTCCAGCAGCAGATGATGTATGACTCGCCACCGTCTCGCGCTGCATCTGTTTCTGTCGACTCCAGCCTTTATTACCTGCCCAGGAGTTACTCCCACGACGTTCTACCAAAGGCGTCTCCATCAAGTACCGAAGCCGATGGAGAACTCTATGTTTTTAATACCCCCTCGGGGACCTCCAGTGTAGAGACCCAGCTGAGGCACGTATCTATAAGTTATGACATTCCTCCAACACCTGGTAATACTTATCAGATCCCACGAACATTTCCCGAAGGAACCTTGGGGCAGACGTCAAAGCTGGACACTATTCCAGATATTCCTCCACCTCGGCCACCGAAACCACACCCGGCTCATGACCGCTCTCCCGTGGAAGCGTGTAGCATCACGCGCGCAGCCTCGGACACTGACGGTAGTTACTGTGTCCCTACGGCAGGGATGCCACCGTCACGTAGTAATACCATTTCCACTGTGGATTTGAACAAATTGCGAAAAGGTCAGCTCCAGTTGGCTTCTGCCGTGTTAGAGGTTAACGATCGGGCAGCCATTGGTCCAAATATTTGTTCTTGTAAGCATAGCGTGACGTGAAATGATAATCCCTTTTCTCTGCAGCTCTGCAGTTGCCCATTCACTTAGCAAAGATGTCAGAGTCCCATGGAAGTGTGGTTGTGCATGCAGCGTGTGTCCGTGTGCGTGTTCTGCTGGAAGGGAGAAGGGGATGGAGTTATTCATCCCTGAAAAAGTGTGGCCTTAGGAATACCTTCCTGCCTCAGGAAGTGTGCACCCCCCTCTGTCACTTTCTCTCTCCTGGGTGGGCAGACCCGATGGGACAGAGGAGCAGGAAGTAGACCAGCCACAAAGCCTCTCCCAGGCATACCCTTTCCTGTATTTGTGTCCCGTTATGACCGCTTCTCTGTCACATCTGCTGGGCTCCGTTTCCTTCCTTCTAAATTAGCAGTTTTTACGTTACGTCTACCAGCTGATATGCCACTCCAATCAAGTCATTCTGCTTTTTGTTTGTTTGGTTTTATTTATATTTAAAGCTCTGAATCTTCTCTTCCCAGACCCCTAGCCACTTTACTTATTCCTAGAGCCTTCACCATCTCCTAGAGCCAACCAAAAGTTGCAGACCTTGAGAGGAGAAAAATTGAGTTTGGGTTACACTCTGAGGTTCTTAAAGTCCTAAAACTAAAAAGCCAAAGTTTACAATGCACATACCCTAAAAACTGTGTGATACAACTTCTGTGTTTTGTGTTCGAGTTATCCGGCTGTTTTAAAGAAGGTAAAGATTTAATGTGTTGTGAATAGGACTTATATCAACACTTATTTAGCTATTCATTACCAGTTTCTAACTTCTTGAAGTGGCCGTAATGTATGTTATAGTGGTTATAAGTTAGTGAGATGCAAATTAGACCCAAGGGTGCAAAAGATGAAAAAACGGAAGTATTTCTTTTCTCCATCTTTAGATAACCATTTCATCCCAGGCTTAGCTATTTACTCATTGTCATAATCAAATACTGGTACTGGTTAGCATAAGAGGAAGTGTCTGCATTTTCTAGTGCTTCAATGTGTTAATGCGAGATACTACTCTGTGAGCATCCTTTTAAAAATCTGTATATGTGCATGTGTGCATATATGAAAACACAGAGAGAGAGAGAATGTCATTCCTGATTACCCTGAGAACTGGCAAAGATGGGAGGAAATGCTGACAGTTTATTCTCTGTTTTAGATGCTAGTTCTCAAGATTGCTATGATATTCCACGAACATTTCCAAGTGACAGATCTAGTTCACTTGAAGGCTTCCATAACCACTTTGTAAGTATAATTGACCTTAACATCATCAAGTGTGTTTCACTGTCAGGATCCTCACACTTAGCGCTCTGAGACTAAAATGAGATCCTGGAATAAAAGTCCCTTCAGCCCCATGTGAATAAGCATGACCGACAACTGTGTTTTCCTGTTGACAATAGTTTTCGTTTATTAAAAGAAATGTATGTGTGTTTTAGAAAATCAAAAACGTATTGACGGTGGGAAGCGTCTCAAGTGAAGAACTGGATGAAAATTACGTCCCCATGAATCCCAACTCTCCTCCACGGCAACATTCCAGCAGCTTCACAGAACCAATTCAGGAAGCAAATTATGTGCCAATGACTCCAGGGACATTTGACTTTTCTTCATTTGGAATGCAAGTTCCACCTCCTGCTCACATGGGCTTCAGGTCCAGCCCAAAGACCCCTCCCAGGAGACCAGTTCCTGTTGCAGACTGTGAACCACCTCCCGTGGATCGGAACCTCAAGCCAGACAGAAAAGGTATGGGGGTTGTGGCACGGTAAAAGGGTCGGGGGCTGCCAGTTTAGATCTGCATTTAACTCTCGTTAAATCCAAAACAGAATCGGCACTAGAAGTTGGGAAGTATTTTCTATTACCTTAGTTACCAACTTGTTTAAGTAAAATGGTATTGCTACTTAGATATTATTAATTATTATGTCATATGTTGATGCCCAGGTGAGATTTTTCAGTCTCCTATCTCTAGAGCAGAGGTTACCAACTAACATATTCCCAAGGATTGGCAAGCAACAGGAGATAATTAAGAGGAACTGGAATGCCCTTGCCCCATCCAAATGGGGTAACTACTGCCTGGCTACAGTCCTTTGTGGACTTGTGAAAATAACGTGGGCCCCTAAAGGAAAACTCTTCTGATTATCAAAAGAAGTCAAAAATACAGCGTTTTATATGTATAGCCTTTTGATTTTTAAGTTCTGCCAGCTAATTTAGTTATTTAAAACAAAGCAAAGCAAAGCATTGTAGACCATACCAAACACTTTTACAAGCCAAATATGGCCTTTGGCTGTTATTTTGTAACCTCTTCTCCAGGGTGTGTGATGTCAAATCAGACTCGAGGTTATTAATGCACTTGACATGGTTCTTTAAGAGCAGTAAGATTTGCTTGGATTCTCTCCCCATTCTGTCTGTATAACAACTTCTCAAAAATGATTCTGCCTTTGCTGGGGTATAAACAAATGCTTCTCGTCTATTCTTTCATGCTGGCCTTCATAAGTACCATTAAATTCTAAGGTAGCATGGTTCGTTAAGAACTCAGTGTAAAAGAAAATTTTCAGCCAAATTGGTAATATGGACCCAAGTTTTCAAAATTTGCGTTTGAGTGGTTAAAACCCGGACAGCCAGCTGTGTGGTAGCATGCTGTGACTGTGGTTTAATCTCGACAACCAAGTAAGTTAATATATTGGCTGTGGGATGCGTGGCACAATTTCCGGGGAATTCAGCACATTTGAAAGATCTCATGTGCTAGATGTAGCTTTTTTTAAAAGCATGTAATGTTTGTGTAAATTTCTCATTAACCTGGGCTGGGATCATTTCTATTAATCCTAATTAAGTTCCTGTTGTAGGGGACAGTGACAGAGACTCACTCTTAAGAAAATGAGTTTTGTTTTACTTTTAAGTAAGTAAGTGAAAAGAGAACGTTATTGGGAACTGAGCCGCTCCTCTGGGGCTGTCACTTTGTCCGGCTCACTCTGCTTCTGTCCTCTGGGAAGTTTTTGATTCTACTTGGTTCAGTCTTACCTTCTCCCCTTCTTTGCTGTTTTCTTTTCCTCCGTATCCTCTACTTGACATGGTTTCTGCTTTCAGAGAGCGCTGGCCTCCAGCGCCCCGCTGTGGCTTAGATCCCACCTCCTGGCTGCTTTTTATGGGCCCTCGCAGCTTCCACACCTGCTGTGGACCACCGCATTCATCATCCGCTCACTTCAGATTGGTCAGAGAGACTTGGTCTCATGTGTCTTGCCACACCAGGCCGCGTCATGGACGGTGGGCCAGCCCATCGACGGGCTGTCGTTGGGTCACACACCCCCTTCTGGTCCCACAGCTGGAAAGATGGTTGCATGTCACACCACTGGCCACCTAAGTGGCCCCGGCAGCAGGGCCCTGATCAGGGTTGGTTATTTCAGAAAGGGTGTGAGCATCCCAGGCTTTTCCATTGATCACGTTTCCTCTCGTTTCTCTTTATCCTCATTTGTTTTTAAATCTATTTAGGCCTCATTAGTCATTTTTTCGTTTGCATACACTATGCCAAAGTATGTTTGGACATGTGTAGATTTATCATAGAGCCCCCAGGTTGTAGGAGGGTTAAGATTCAAGTGTCCTGAACTCTGTGAAACATTGAAATCTTCATTTTAATGCTAAACGGATTCTTCTCTTATTTTCCCGTAATGAGTACGTTAGCAGCAGGTCACTGGTTTTTAACACAAAACATAACAGTTTTCTATCTGGATGTCCCACGTGAGTATGGAGGTGGTCTGATCTGGGTGAGGCACGAAGTTCTGAGTCCCTCCAGCTTTGCTCCTTTGCCTGCTACTTCTTTCCATCAGGCTCTGCAGAACACAGTTTGAAAATTCCCAGTGTAGTTCACTGTGAACGGTTCCATGTGGTAAGCACAATGCAGAATCAGAAAAGAGCCCTATTTGTATGTTAGAAAAGTTTTGGGATCATAATGATATGCTTTTAGTATCATCTAGGTCTGACAGAGTTCATATGCCCTGTATTATAATATATATTATCTTATGTCTATATCATAATATGGCATGTATACTACAGGTTATATGTATTGCATATATATATATAATTATACCTCCCTATGACTATAGTGAAAGTATATATATTCTAGTACATGAGAGATTAATTGTCCTCATCCTCTAAACCAACCTAAGGTGATTTTACTGTAGAACAGAGCCAAGTAGGTTCCTTGGTTACTTTTGGAGATTCTCCTCAGTCTTTTAAGAACTAACTGAACTGTTGAAAGACAGTTCTGAGCTCATGGGCCAGATTACTGGTTTTGTATCTCCGTTTAGATACAGAAAGAACTGAGAAAGTACCCAGAATAAAATACCTCCATAGTTTTGGACAAAATCAAGAATAGGTTTAGCAAAATAGTAAAGAGTTTACTAGTCATAGTAATTTTTTTTTCAATTTTTGTTTTTCTTTAGTACTACTCTACTTTTTAAAATAAATATGATACAATAAAGGAGGCTTGAGTAGGGCAGGATATAGCTCAAGTGGTAGAGCACATGCTTAAGATGCATGAGGTCTTGGGTTCAATCCCTGGTACCTCCATTGAAATAAATAAATAAATAACCTAATTACCACCCCCAAAAAAAACTGAAAAAAAAAAAGAGAAGAAGAAAGGAGGCTTGAGAAAGTTTTTAATAGTGCAGTACAAACTCACTTTAGGAAGTTACAGCTATTCCAGAAAAATAAATTATAAAACCCAAATTCAGATCCTAGCGGAAAGTTTATCCTTAAAAAATTAATCTGTAAAAATAGACGTCTTATTTGGTCATGAAATTCTTCTTATGCATAGCATCTGATGAGTCTGTTTTAATTTCAAATCTTGTGACATCAGATACATGACTCAATCTATTATTCTAGTGTCTCTTATTAACTAAACCTCATAATAAGCAAACCTAGTTCTATAATATATGGCTTGATTAGTTTCAAAACGCAGTGTAACTAGTTCAACACCCAGTATAACCAATTTCTGTGACTGTCTTCTTTGGAAGGGTCTACAGTAAATGAGTGACATTCTAGTCTTGTTTATACCCCCAATTATAGATGTCAGCTGCTGCAGTTACTAGTACAGATGAGTTTTTCGAATACTTTCGAGTAATTGAAGCTGCAGAAATACACAGATGTTTTGAACACTTACATTGAATGTATTTTTATGGACCGTTTACCCATCGCCCAACGGTGGTGGCTATATTTTAACCCATACTACGACTGTCACAACAGTATTTGTTCTGAACCAAGTTTTGTGAATATTCGTATAGGGGAAAAACGTAATTTATTTGTGTTGTATTAAATATTAGGAAAGCAAATGAGTCATTGCAAGTGCAGGACAAATTCTGTTCTGATTTCTTTAATGGAAGAGTACTTATGTAAAGTTTGGGAAATTTCTATAAGATATGGTGCCTTCTGTAAAAATAAGTCCTTATAGAAATCTACTAGATTTAATCCCTGCACTTAACTAGGCCCGTTCAGTCTGTTTCTAACATGATAGAACAGCTGTTCAAGCCTCAAATATGCTGTCTTTATATTTTGTTTGGCCTCGTCCATTCATGGCTTTCTGCAGTAGTTCTGACCATCAGCTATTGTACTGGATTTTAAAGGGCAGTGCAAGGTTCCTTCTGGTGCTTTTGTACATCAGTTTGGTTAAAGAATCTTCAGGTCTGGATCTTCCCTTGGGTGTAAGAAGCACCCAGAAGACCACTCTAGGAATTTCCTTTGGTGGATCTCAGTGATACCTTTTTAGCTTGGCTCTGAGCATTTTTTCAAGAGCTCTTCTAAAGCAGTGTTTTGGATGTGACTAAAAATTAACATGCTTTTTTAAAAATTACTTTTATACTACAACAAATGTTGGGAAGATGGAAAAGTGATACCAGTAAATGCAACTAGATTTTAATAAATAAATATTAAAGTCAGGTTTTTGGTTTGGTGTTACAGTTTAAAGGAAATGAGTCCAGAGTGCATTTTTATAGGATAGCGTCTACATGCAGGGTTTTGTTTTTTTTCCTAAATATTCCTGCACTTCCAATATAACTATCATGAGTATAGCCCCCTTTGTACAGTGAGACCATTAAAATAAGCATAAAGGTTTTTCAGCATGCTACCTTGATTACTTCTTGGAATTAGCAGAGGGTAATGTTGTGACTTATTTTTCTTCTTTCTTGATTTTTGAGGTGCCTACTGGAAATAATAGCGTCATCTGTGAAACTTCAGATGAGTAACTAATTTAGGCTAACTTAAACCTATAGTGATAGAGGAAATAAATTTTCCACTTTGAGTTGAATATTTGTAAGTAGTACCTGTTAAAATAATACTTAACAGAGTATGGACTTTTCGAAAAGGACTGCATCTGCTTTTTGAAGCATGAGCTCGTGACTGCCTTGACCATATTTGGAATGATCAACTTTTGGAACAATATTCAGTGCCTTTTTTTTTTCTCTCTCTCTCTTCAAAGGCAAACAAAAAAGTATGAGATTGGTCAGCTTAAACACCACCAGCTTTAAGAGAACTGCAGTTCACCCAAACTGGCTGCAGTGCCTGTCAGTTATAGGATGTACCCTCTGATAGGTCTTGAGTTTCAAAACACAAAGAAGAAAATGTAGCTTCCCTGAAGAAGCTCACTGTTGAGTGGAGGAGGTAGAAAAGTAAACACATTATCATAATTAGCATGGAAGGGGCTGTGGCTGAGGTAAGCTCTTGGCACTGTTCACTAACTCCTCTGTCTGAGAGGATGAGTGGCAATTAAGTGATGGTGGAGGATCTCCTGGTCAGAATAAGCAGCATACTCTAGTCCTTTTGAAAAGGGGGGGAGATGGGACTGTGGCTCCATCTTGGGTGGGAGGGAGGAAAGTATGAAAGCAGGAACCAATGCCAAATGCCTCGCAGGTGTCTGATCCTGGGCGAGTTGTAAGCCATGCTAATGAGTGTGGGCTTTATTCTGAACACACTATTAAAGGGCTCATACAGGCAGGCAACATAATTAGGTTGGCCCCCTACAAAGCTCATTCTAACATTTAAGGATACTATAGGAAGAAAATCGTATCCTTTCATGTAAAATGTTCTAAAACCACACTTTTGTCCAGCATCTTCCTCAAAGAGTGCTTTGCCCTGTTTTCCAAATCCAGGGTTCTTGAAGCCTTGCTTTAGAGCGGATCAGACGGAAAGGCATAACAGAAGTCCCTTTCCTGGCTCTCAGTTGCTCCTTCAACTTGGGGACCTAGAGTGATGTTTACAAGTTTTGAGGGCACTTGGAGGAGAGGTAGATGTCATTTAGCCAGACAGTGTGAATTCGTCACTTTTAGAAAAACAAATCAGGTAAGTGAAGTGCACATTAAAAAAGGAAGGAAGGATTTCAGGCTTGCAGGTTATTAAATTTTCTTGGAGGATTGAAAACAAGTTATTGTCATTATAAATAGAAAGTAAAATTGATAATAGGTTGGCGAGAAAGTGGAATCTAGAATAACTCCTCTGAAAGATCTGCTATGGCAACTGGAGGTATAGGAAACAAAGCAGGTCTGTGGTGGGTCGAAGAGGATAAATTCTGTTTTGAACACGTGGTATGAACGAGCGCATGCAGAACATCCCTGTCAGGTGGTTTTGTAGACATGCAGATAAGGATCTCAGGGGAGACATCCTGAACCCAAGGTTAAGATGGACCAAGTTGTGCTCCACATTAGGGAGCACACGATCCAGAGACTGACAGTCTGGGGTGAGACTGTTTTAACCCATGAGGGTTAAAGCACAATGAGCATTTCACCGGTAGTCAGTGCCCTTTGCTAAATGAGATGCGTCCTGTTGCCTTCTTTGTCCAAACCTCATCTAGCGAAAGCCCACTTGTAACTGCCTTGGGTCTAAAAAGCTGAGGCGCGAAAGAGATACTGTGTTGACTATCAGAGTTTGATCAGTAGCTCCAGAGCTGGTTCATTTTTGCCTTTAATATTCTTATTTTTTACTCTTTGTTTTCACACTTTTCTTAAGCAGTCAAAGAAACATTCAAGTATTTGACTCCAGGCAGTAGAAAAGAAGTACTTACACCTTGAACTTTTTCTCCTTTCTCTCCTCATAAATAATTCTGAGCTGTTAAAGTATCACTTCCATTTCTGCCTGGAACATAAATGTCGAATTGAGCTTGGGAGGATATAAAGAATAAATGTAAAGAATGAGGAAATAAAGCTACCAAAGCAGCATTTTCACGTTATGACTTTCGTCCTAAGGTCAGCTTTAAAACTTTGCCTGGAGTAGAAACTACATGCAAATTTTATAATTACACTGTAAAAAATTTCACTTAACACAGTATATTTCTAGGAAGAAAATCAAGGAGTACCCTGGAGAGTACGTGAGAGGATTAGAGAAGTTTTATGTTTTCTTAAGCTAAAAAAATCACATCTTAAAAAACATGTAGATTTCTAAATATCAGCAAAAATCAGTGGGCTCTAATTCTGTCATCTAGTAGATGTCGACTCAACTTTGTAAATGCCAAAAAAAAAAAGAGAGAGAGAGAGAGAATTTGGTGCCATTGAGAATAGAGTAGTTTCCTGATTGAAATGATGTTGCTACTCCAGCATCCAGGCTTCCAGTGGGAAAAAGTATGAGAAAACTGCTGAGTGTTAAACTTGTGCTTTTCATAAGGCTTTTTAGCAGTACTTGTACGGGGCAGAGATTAAATGAAAAAATAATAATAATAATAATAATAATAATAATAATAATAGCAGCTGAATTTATGCTTTCAGATACTTAAAGCTGGATAATCAGCAGTTCCAGAATCCAGACATCTAATCCTTGCAAAATGGTGTCACTGGGCAACCACTGAGTATCCAGGGGAAACAAATGCTGGTCTTGGTTTTGACCTTGGATTAGGAGATGTGGTCGAATAGTTTCTCTGGAAGGGCTTTGGCCTAGAGGTGAAGGAGTAGTCAGACTGAAGTTTTTAAAACACTTCTGTCAAGTTAAGGAAGCAGACCTTGGTACTTTCTTATGAGACGCCAAACTTCAAAGAAAAGATGTCCTTGAGATCTGACCCAGGGGTTTCATAATTTTTTATTTGATCCAATTTTCTATGGCATGTTAGAAGAATAACTAACATGACACATGTTTTTCCTCCCTTCCTCCAAATACAGATAACAACTAACCAGGCAATTATGCCACTAAAACCCTACCATCTTTTGTAATACTTTGCTTATTACATGGTTGCATGCAGCTTCCTGGTTCCCTTGGTACTGAGCATGAATGATATGTGTAACAAGACTGAAATCGTCTCCACAAACAAACTTCTGTTTATGCTTTTGAGATCTAACATTTCTGCTCAGGGCTCTGTTGCTTTTTTTTTACAGAATCCATTTTTTTCCCATTAAAAAATAACATTATATTAAGAGAGTCTTCTTTTTACCAATTAGGTCAAAGTCCTAAAATTTTAAGACCCAAACCCCATGGTTTAGAGCGAACTGATTCACAAACCATAGGTGACTTTGCTACAAGAAGAAAGGGTATGTACTTTAGCACCGCATGCTGGATGGGGTGTTGGGAATTTATTTATTCTGTGATTTTTTTTTAAAGTAAAGGAGACGAGTCTTACATACCATTGCTGTTGTAAATAAGCTTCCCAGCACGTAATTTCTAAAGTGAATGCTTTCCATAATACACAATAAGTCTTGTCATGCCATTAACAGCAGCATGTTAAATATTTGATAATATATGATATTCAGTCTTGTCCTTTTGTATTATTCTTTTAACCTTTTAGACATCAATACAGTGTTTTCTTTAAACTTGTGAGCTGCTTGTGAGTTCCAGTTGTCTCCTATATTTATAGATAATGCATGTACTCTGTTCTGGGACAGAATATAAAATCATTTCAGTGGATTAATTACTTTATGCCATTACTTAGAATTTGACAGCTGAATTGCTATTAGCCTTTGGGTTTCAAAAAAGTAAAAACTTAAGAGTTCAAGAAATACTTTCGGTTAGCTCAGTACTCTGTACATGTCCATTTTAAGTGGATAGATGGGCAAAATTATTTTAAGTCGAACTTAAATCAGTGTGGTCTTCAGAAAATCACATTGAGTTGTTTTTTGTATTTGAGTTGACAGAAATACTTAGTCATAAGCCCCAAGGAATCTACATAGTCCTTTAAAATGACTACGTATTTTATAGTTTGAAGGTAATTATAACATAGTTGATTAAAAGTTCACATATATGGACAAAGGCTAGAAGGATACCTGGAAAAATGAAAATTTTTTCTTTAGAGTGTCAGGATGAAATGTAACTAAAATATTTACCTAATATATTTAAATAGTCTCCTAAAATATAGTGAATATTAACAAACAATATTGTTTTAGTTCTTTTTCCCATTTCATTAATTTCTAAAAACCGTTTGAATGTTGACTTTAAGGGCCAAGAGCTCTTGGTATACACTAGAAGAGTAATTGTCTATTGCTGTAAAGCAGTAGATGAGCAAAGACCACTTATAAATAAATGCTAGTAAGAATATTCAATTTATTAAATGATATTATTGGTTAAATTAAGCTAAAAATTTGAGGTAATTATTTGATTAAGGTCTTTTCTCAGAGCTAAGTTTGAGTAGAGAGATAAAATTTTTGCTTTGTTCTATTTGTTTCTGGACTAGACATGAATTAATTTAAGATTTGGTCATTAATTCTTTCTCAGTTTTTGGTTTTACCAAAGCTTTGTGTTTATTTCTAAACATCATTTTATATGAATAGTTGTATTACTCATGCTTCTGTGTTAATGATTAGGAAGTATTTACATAGAAAATTAAATCACTGTGTTTGAGGATAAAATTAGTGAAAAAATAAAATAAGGAAATAATGAATAGTATAAATCAAATAACTGAAAGAACTGGGTCACATTACTCGTTCTTATTCTCATTTAGTTTATATCCGTAAAATAGCTACTTAAATTAAAAAGCAGCAAGCTGTAATAAAAAGCTTTATTTAGACTTTGAGTCAGCAGTCATGAAACATTATCTGATTTAGCTTTTGCCACTCATTTTTTTAGCTGTGTGACCTTGGAGAAACCATATAACATCCGTGAAATTCTTTTCACATGGGAAACTAGCTGGTCTTAGGTGTGCTGTGGCTCTAATGTGTAACTAGAAATAGAGAGGATCTTGTTCTGGTTTTCAAATGTCTGTCTACTAAAATTTCTTTTTCTCTCTCTCATTGCAGCCAAGCCAGCACCTTTAGAAATAAAACCTTTGCCAGAATGGGAAGAGTTACAAGCCCCAGTGAGATCTCCTATCACTAGGAGTTTTGCTCGAGAGTAAGTCTTTATCAAATTTGTAGTTTGATTGTTCATGATAATGGAAAATATCTAGAACAGTGGTCCCCGAGGGTGGTCTGGGGAAGCTCCCCTCTTTGGGGTCCTGTGAAGGCAAAACAGTTTTCACTGAGATACTAAGATCTCATTTGCCTTTTTCACTCTCCTCTCATGAGTGTACGCTGGAGTTTTCCAGAGGTGGCCTGAAATTTGATAACATCGTTGTGACACCTAATGGAGTGTGTCTTTGTGTTGTAAATGTTTTTCTATTGTTTATCACATGTTAGATCCCAGTAGCTATCACCCATGTAAACAAAAGTACCTCAGGCTTCCCAGTAGTATCTAAGAGTGTAAAAGTTTCCTGAGTAGAAATTTCTGAGACCTGCTACTCTAGAAGACTTGGTAGTTTCTCGTGGGGATTGTTTAATCGAGGTTCATTTAAATGTATATGGGGAAATGAAAAGAATGTACACAGTTCCAAAGCTGTGTTCAGCGAGTTCATATTTTGTATGTGGAATATATAAATAGGGATAAAATAGGAATTCTTAACTCTTTTTATATCTGTGACTTTCTACTTAACCCCCACATCACCAGCAATACCTTTTTTGTTGTTCTGCACAAGGTAATTTGACGCTCGAAAATACCCCTTTACAGAAGCAGATTCATAGATATAGAGAACACACTAGTGGTTACCAGTTGGGGAGAAAGCAGAGGGCAATATAGCAGTGGAGGAGTGGGGGGTACAAACTATTGGGTGTAAGATAGGCTCAAGGATGTATCCCTACAACATGGGGAATATAGAGCCAGTATTTCATAATAACTGTAAATGGAAACTAACCTTTCAAAATTATATCAAACATTGAAAATGTTAAAGAAAAAAGAAAATATCCCTTTACAAATAGCTATAAATACACTTTGTGCATTTGAACATGTGCAATTAATTGTTATAAATGTGTACAGTGTATGACTATAAGCTTGAAGATTTCTCAAAGAATGTACACTATCACTGATATGTATTTGGGAAGTGAACTGGGGAATCTTGGTCACGGTGTATGTGTGTGATGGCCATCTCTGTGACTAGCTCCTCCAGGTTTCCCATGTCTCCCCGGCCGGATTCAGTGCACAGCACGACTTCAAGCAGTGACTCGCATGACAGTGAAGAGAATTACGTTCCCATGAACCCAAACCTGTCCAGTGAAGACTCGGTGAGTGGAGTCTGCCTTTAACCTCTTCCTGAGCCACTCTTCTGAATCACTCATGCTAGACCTTTCTTCCAAACTGTACACCTTACCCTTCTGTCTTTTTTTTTTTAACTTAAAAGAATAAAATACAACTTTTTAAAAATGCTTTTTAAAAATAGTATCATAAAGTCTAAAAGCAATAAAGGGTCAAAATGTAGTATACATATCTATAAAGCAGAAATTAGTTAAAATCATAAAAGTGTTACAGTTTTTTTTCTTTTAAGATGTACTTGAGTTTTGAAACTTTGCAAGAAAATATTTTATACTCAGGCATTTTATAATCCATTTCTCCAGGCCCTATGTCAGAGTTCTCTTAGGGTGACATAATCTTATACCAAAGGTCTTTCATAATCTTTCAAAAATACATCCTTAGGTAAGGCTTAAAGATCAAAGACCTGTTAAAACCTGATTTACTTCAGTCTTGCTGTAGCTACTGGAAGGCACAAGAATTCTATAATAGCAGTAAGCAATATGTTTCTCAGAAATCAGGTAGTTTCAGAAAGTAATACTTCAGATATTTAAGAACTCAAGCCAGTTTTAATTTTTAAAAGTCTTTTGCTTTTGTTTTCCCTTAAACTAGAGTGAGTGCTTGCTTTGTTATTTATATTTGAGTAGGTGAGTGTATCAGTTGGCACTGGGGTCCCCTCTGAGTAACAGAATAATTAACAAGGACTTAATTTCTTTCTCACGTAAAAGACCGGAGAGTCAATCCGGGGTGGTTGCGGCAGCTTTGTTCCTGGAGCCCTCGGGGATCTCTGTCCCTTCCAGCTCTCGGGTCCACTGTCCCCTGGGTCTGGTGCACATGCGCGATAGAACAAGATGCTCCACCCCCACCCCCCACGCCCCCCAGCAGAGTCACAATCCAAGCTGCGGGATGGAAGGAAGAGAGAAGCAGCAAAGGAGGCAGCCTAACTGCCTCATAAAGAAGGTTCCCAGAAACTGCTGAGTACAAACTGTTGGCCAGAACTTAGTCTCTGGCCACGCAGACATGAAAGAGGCAGGAAACCATAGCCTTTATTCTGAGTGCCAGGGGGCCTGGCTAAAAATCCCCTTCCCTGGGCAGAGGGGACAACAGATGGGGGGCACAACCAGGCAGCGTCTGCCAGGATAAGCAAATGTTGAGTGTCAAACCTTGGAATGAACAGCATTGTAGTGGCTTTATTTTCTTTGAAACAGTTCTCTTTAGAGATTCAATTTTATCAATGAATTTGTTGTATGTCTTTAATGGACTTTAGGCAGAAACAGATTTCTCCTATGTTGTGAAGAAACAAAAGTTAGCCATTTGAAAAGTATGATTGGGTCCTTGAATTAATTAATGTTAAAATATTAATCAAATTTATAAAGTGTTTAAAAATGAATAAGTTAATTTTAAAATATTTACATCAGCCCTTGAATTAGAATGCAAACTAAATATCAGTCATATTTTCACTAACTTGAAGGCAATGAGATATTAATTGACTTCTGCTTTTGGATTTGCTATTTTTCAATTTGATGGGTGGTGTTTTATTATTTTTATTAACTTAGTACTTTTTCTTTATTACAGTAAGTAGACTAGTAAGAGCCTCAGTAAATCCTCAGTGCTGAGTATAGATTGCCATCAATTTCATCTTCAGGTGGTTGAGGGAATTCTTTCAAATTACAAAAGTTAATTATTTTCTGAGATCCTAAAGAGTTTTTTATTTTACTCCCCAATAGTAAATAATCATAAAAATATTGGAAAGGACATTTAATAGGGGAATTTGAAAGTATGATTTGTTGTGAGTAGGTGTTAAGTGAAGGGAAAAGACTAGAAAGGAAACCATGACATTCAGAAAGTCAAAGGAAATGAAAATATAAGATTGTTCTTTTATATGTCATATGCTAAACCAGAAAGTTACTTTTACCTGCCAGTAGAAGTATCTCAATAGCCACCAGATAGTGGATTTCTAAAGTACTCAGGCCCTAAGTGTTAGAAATGAGCAGAAGCGTCCCAGTTGACAATATCCATCTCCCATTCACAACGGAGAAGTCAGCTGTGCCTTTCCTTCTCATCTTGCTACCCACCCAGGGGCTCATCCTAGCCTGAGCAACAGTTCCTAAGGAAGGAATGTGATAGTTCCAGCAGTATTTTCTGCACCTCTTGGAATTCAGTGTATGAATAGAATACCATAAAAGTTCACAAGATCTAACATATGCTTGGATCGATAAAGTCAATTAAAAAAAAACAGAGAACAGGATGAGATTAAAACCTGGTTTATAAGGACAATAGAGATTAAATTCTCTACGTTGAAATGTATAGAATGCATGCTCTTTCCTACACTGGCACTCATGGAGCAGACGGTATCTAAGGAAACAGTGAATTGGTGATGCTGCCTATTCATTTATACAGATATCCAAAGTCAAGCATTCTTGAAATGAACCCTTAATGTGACACCTGAAATTCAAGCGATGGGACATTATTAAAGACATGTATGTTGTTTGTAACAATAACAGCAAAAATCTGTTCAATAATTTTACGTATTTTGAAAAGAATTTTAGGGGAAAAAAAGCACTAACTATATATTATTTTCCATTTAGTTCGCAGAACACTTATAATAACGTCTAGAATCTTGGGGTTTTTCTAAACTGTTTTGGGAAAACACTGGATTAAAAGGCCAGAACAGAGACAGGCTGTTCCCAGTTGAGGTTAGATCAAGAGCAAATAGTCTTCCTTGTAGGAACACATATTTTAACCATACTTAAAGATGAAAAAAATTCAAGTTCTAGTAATTATTAGACCGAAAAGTTTAACCTGCAATTCTGAGAAATTCTCTTTAGAAATAATGTATTGAGATGAAATGTGTACATCATATGAACTCAAGGGTTCCTTTCATACCCTTGTAATACCATGAACAATTCTAAGTGTTTCCTACTAGGGAAATTCCAGGTATGGGTTCTGTCTTCTCTCTCTCACACACACACACACACACACACACACACACTCTCCAGGTTGGTTTTTTATGTGAGAATGAGCTGAAAAAAATTTTCAGTTTTTTCATGAATTAGAAAAAAGTGGGGAGGGGAATAGCTCTTTGTACTAATTGAGCACCAAAACTTACTTACATTTTTTGTCTCACATGTAACCATTAGTATTTTTTTTATGATTTGTTAGCAATAGTTGATAAATTTGGTTTAAAAATCTGTTCCTGCAGATAGGGTCATCAGATTCAGTTGTGCAGGTTGTCCACTGCACAAACATGTCACATTCAGTATGTAGTACGTGCAGAAGACCACACACATACTGCGTTTGAGTACATACAACCCAGACCATGTCCTGCTAACCAGGCTGTGGGTCCCAGCGCAGAGCTGTGTCGCCCTCGGGGAAGGAGCACCTTTTCCTAATTCACAGAAATGTTTCATGCAGGCTGTCAGCAGCTCTGCTTTCAAATGAGGGAATAAACTCAGTGTTTTCCTAGCAATTGTCCTTGCCCTAAACCACAGTTTACTCTGTTAACCTAAGCCAAAAGAAATACAGTAGCAATGGAAAGAATCAACAGAACAGATTTGTGTCATTTCTACTTGTGTTGTTCATCCTAACAAGTGTAAAATTGTCAAGTTCATTACATCATTACGTTTTTCTTCAAAAGTATGAGATAACATGTGAACAATAATACCTGTGTGAAAGATGGCACAAGGATGAAAGCCCCTAACGAATAAGTAGTGTCACCTATGAGAGTTCAGGAACATTCCTAGGTGAGGTTAAAAGCAACAAGGTATAGAAACAGGAGATTTGCTGGAGCACATTTAGAAGACTGTCATAATCAGAGTCTAGGGGGTATGTAGGGACATAAGTCCATGTTGTCTTTTCTTTATTTCGTTCTTATTGTTTATTGCTGCCCTTTCTCTTCCTTGTTTCTTTTTCTTTTCTTAGTGAGTAGTCCTCTTGCACAGTTCCTATTAGGAGAGAAGGGATAAGGCTAAGACAGAAAATTAAGTGGTAAAAATTCCAGATGTTTGAAACAAAATAGATTTTGAAGTAGAGTCGGTATTTCCAGCTTTTAGTTAGCATAAGCTTATTCTAAACTAATTTTCACATGATAGTCTTTTAATAAAATACAGAACTTTATAAAAAAGTTTAATTTGAGAGAAGGTAAGCTCATAGTCTTTCTACTCCACCATCTTGGTAGAACCCTAAAAAAATTTAATTTGAAAGTGAGGGATATAAGGATCTGGTACTTAAAGAATGTGATTGTGTACAGATACTTTACCAGTGTAGAAGGAGAACTATTGTAGGTCACTGTAGCTGGATATCCCAGTCTTAGCCTGAACCAAGTCTTACTTTTCAAACTACTGTTAGCTTACTCTAATTGATGTTCTAACCAGTTTTAAAACTGTTACTTATTTTTCCCCAATCCTAAAAAAATCGTTTAACTTTCTAAGGAGACACTTCTTCAACCTTTGTCCTCCTGAAATTAATATTTAGGCTTCAGCAGATGGCAAACTAGGTAACAAGCGGTGTGTCTTACGAATGTTGGACAGTTGATTCTGTTGCGTTACACTTTCAGAATCTTTTTGGCAGTAATAGTCTGGATGGAGGAAGCAGCCCAATGATCAAACCCAAAGGAGACAAACAAGTAGAGTACCTAGATCTAGATTTAGATTCTGGGAAATCCACACCACCACGCAAGGTAAGTGAAGCCTCGTTCTGTAAGTACACTTAGTTCACATTTGAAACCTGAAGAATCGCATTTCCTTTGGGGGAATTTTATTAGTATGTTTAATTTAAGTTTAATAAAGTCTTAATGCTTTTTTCATAAATCACAGACAACGTTATGCAGACTGATAAATTTATTTTTTCCTTTCTAATGGTATGGACGTTATACACTTTCTACTCTTTTAATGGTTACCATTGAAATGCTAAATAAATTCTAAAGTTCCAAAGTTAATTGTTGTCTTCGCTCCCTTTCTGTTGTCTTTTTTTTCCCAGCTCAGTTTAATCCCTACCTGACTTACTTGCTATTTTTGTCAAAATTTTTAGTTTTTTGTTGTTGTTACTGTTAAACCCATAAATTACTAGTAGTAGTATCCTGTAGTACATAGACAATGTTTATTTCCATTCTCTTACATTTTTACCAACTTTTTTATCCTTCCTTTTTGTATCTAAGACCTTCCTTCTCTAATTTTCCTTCCTCCTTCCTTTAGAAGTTCTTTTTGTGAAAATCTTGCGGTTTTTGTTTAACTGAAGTGTCTTTATTTTGTCCTCATTCTTGAAAAAGAACTTTTGTGGGTTTCTTGGTTTTGTTTTTTGTTTGTTTGTTTGTTCTGGGGTTTGTTTTTTGTTTTTTTTTTGTTTTGAGGTCACAATTCTTGATTGACAGTAAGTTTCTTTGGACACATAGGAGATACTGTTTACTATCATCTGGCTTCCGTTGTTCCTGCTGAAAAGTATGCTGTCAGTCTAATTCCAGTTCCTTTGTAGGTAATCTTGTCTTTTCAGTCTGGCTGATGTTAAGATCTTTTCTGTATCTTCCGTGTTCTGCAGGTTTGCTACACTGTGTCTAGACATCTAGACGTAGATTTTTTTCTTTATTTATCCTGCTTGGTAGATGTGTTGTCTTTATCTCTGGATTCATATTTTTTGTCAATTCTGGCAAAGTCTCAATCATTATCTCTGTAAATATTGTTTTTCCGCTATTCTTTTTCTTCATTCTTTGAGGTTTCTGATTAGACATTAGTTAGAACTTCTCAACCTGTTTTCACACCTTTTGTCACTCTTTCATATTTTCTATTTTATCATGTCTTTATGCTTACTTGGATAATTTCTTTAGATCTGTCACCAAGTTCTTCTGCTTAACCCATGTGTTGAATTTTTAATTTCAACTAATTTTATTTTTCATTGCTAATGTGACATTCTGCTTGGTTTTTTTTTTCCCAGTACACCTAGCTGATTTGAATAGCTTCTTATTCCTTTCTTGTTATACTATTCCTTTTATTAAGTTTAATTTTTTCATTCCTTTAAACATTTTATACTCATATTTTACACCATTTATGCAATAATTTCAACATCTGAAGACCTTGGTGGTCTTAATCTGTGTTTACTGTTTCTGCAAACTCACATGCTTGATGGCTTGTTTCCTTGTGTGTTTCTTGTATTTTTATTGAGAATTGATTCTGCTGAGCTTATCTCTGAGCAGCCTGCAGAACTAAACTTCCTTCAGAAAGGGTTTGTATTCGCTTCTGCTAGGAAGCGGGTGATGCTACCACCGTGGGACCACTTCAGTTCCCTTTGATGGTCCCTAGCCTAGTAGAAAGGTTTCCAATTCCATGTGCCTCCCACCAGGGCATCCTGACTGCACTGCTCAGATTGATGTTCATCCTACAGACAACTGTCTTGACCCTTCAGCAGCTCTCTGCTCCATCCAGTTCCCTCACACTTTGGTCATGTCCCTTAATTTCTAGTGAGACCAGTAGTGTATTAGTAATTACATTTGTTTTAGGTTAGCTAGTATCTTGTTGTCTTTTAGGAGTAAGAGGCCCATCAACCCGGGCAATTTGCCATTCTTGAAATACTCCTTTTCAAAAAACGTTTCTTAGCTCTGAAAGTAAACACTCATATGTGTCCTTGGGACTTGAAAAAGTCAAGCTTAAGTTAAAGGCTAAGGAAGCAAGCTAAGATGAACCAAGTGTCTGTTCTCCCTTTTTCCCAAGAATTTCAGGGGAGAGTAATAGCTCAGTGGTGGAGCACATGCTTAGCTAGCATGCACAAGGTCCTGGGTTCAGTCCCCAGTACCTCCAATAAAAAAAAAAAAAGATTAATTAAAAAAAATTTGAAAGGATTTCATCTGTGATGGGAGCATTAGTCTGAATTCTTAAATAAAGTAGTATTAATTTAGGGGAAAAACAGAGTCCAATTAGGAGGGTGACAATATTGTTAAATGGAAATAGTTAATGTTGTTTTTTGGTGACCAAATATAATTTCAAGAGTTATTTACAGCGTGTGTGTCTCTGTTTGAAGATGGGATTTCACTCAGAAGTGCTCCTTCTTATGTGGGAGTTTATGGGGGTTTTCTTTGCTTTTTTAGCAAAAGAGCAGCGGCTCAGGCAGCAGTGTCGCAGACGAGAGAGTGGACTATGTCGTGGTTGACCAGCAGAAGACCCTGGCTCTGAAGAGCACCCGGGAGGCCTGGACGGATGGGAGGCAGTCCACGGAGTCTGAAACACCAACCAAGAATGTGAAATGAAAATACCGCTTTGCTGTTTCCTGAGCAAAAGAGGGCTGAACTGTCAAGAGAAATCCTGTTTGCCCGGAGATGACCGACACAGCTACTGTAGGTAGATCCTCCGCTGAGTAGAGTTGAAATCAAAGGACCTTTCAGACATAATCAAGCAATCTAGACTGTCCATGGTGCTTTGTGGTGGCTGAACAATTCATCACGTGTATAAATAGTGTGGGAAAATAGTATTATTTGGTTCCCAGAGAAACATTTGTTCCATAGTTAACACACTTGTAGTATTACTGTATTTATGCACTTTTTCATTTAAAGCATTGGTTTGGGTATTTCCAAATGGACCTTAACGTGATCCCTTTGGAGTTTCTTGTTCTTCCTCACACTACTCTAAGAACTATACCAAGTTAATTAAGCTACTTTTAGATTTGGAAATTAGTCTTTAAACCACAGTATAACAACATTACAACGTGAAGTAAATTCACAACCTGCCTTTCTACCTGAAACTTCATATGGTAACCGTTAGCTTGAACTACAGAGCACAGTTGGACTCATTCATTACCTTCCAAAGTGCTGAGCATCATGTATGTACTGGTGTCAGGACTTAGTTCTCTGCTTCGTGTACATTGAGCTTTCAGTGGTGGAACCTTATTCTGTTTTGTTAATTACAGTGTTTGGGTTCATTGAATGAAGATTCTCCCCGGAGTGAGGGCGGGATCTTACACCTTGGAAAGAGTGAATAATTACACTATCAAGTAAGCTTACAGATCACTGACAGCATGTGGTGGTGGTGAGCTCTCACACTTGTTAACATGTATTAAACTCTACTTGCCAAGTGTAGATTATGTAACTAATCAGGTACGTACCAGGCACTGATGTGCTAATACACTGATCAGGTTTAGAAAACTAGCATTAGTGTTCTTGTTAGTCCTCTAATTTTGGTTTCCAGTTTGGAGTTAATGACACAGTTGACATTCACTGTTAGTTATAGCAACATACTGTGATTTTTAATTAGACAGTAATTCAGATTTATTACTCTGAGAATGAAATTCTATCTTTTGACACCATAGTGCCCTTTCTATGATTTTTTTAACTTTACTTAATATTCTTCTTGGCCTTATACTATTTAAATCCCTATGCAATTAATATTTTTTATCTGCATTTTTTTTAAAAAAGTAGATGTTATGTAAGTAATTCTCATGTAGCAACTATTGCTTTTCCAGTAAAAGAATTAAGGATTTTGTACTGTGATTTATATTCACTGCCCCAATTCAAGAAATATTGGAGCCTTGCTATAATGTGAAATCTTACAGTCATGGACCTCTTCCAACCAGATTCCTGAAACCATCTGATTCTGTCTCACCTATACAACAAGGGCCTGTGACATGGATATCACAACCACAAATTATATCTAGTGAGGCTACAATTGTACTTATCTGTCTTGGCTTTGCAGTGTAATTTAGAAAGCAGGTATAATTGTTTGTTTTTTAACCAAGTTACATACAATCTCTTATGTATTGATTTGAGACTTACTAACAGTTTTTGGAGGGAGCATAGAAATAGGAGTGCCCACAGCTGAGGCCCATCTCCCTCCATCCTGACCTCTGTTGCCTGAGTACATAGATGTGCCCTGATTTCTGGCTGCCTGGCCAGAGTGCTGTGCCTAGTCAGTGTAATGGGTTTATGTCCCTTCTATGAACTAAAAATGTTCAGAACAAGATGAATTGTAGACTAGTAACATTTGATGTTTTTAAATGTTTGCTTCTTTTTAAACCAAAACTAAAACCCAGAACTGAATTTTGAGGTGGATTTTTAAATAAAAAAGATTGTTGGAGTCTGGTGTGTGCAAGCTGTTTTATAATGAAACCACAAAATAAAATCCAGAAGCATCAAAATGTGCCTAAACTATCAAAACACACCACACAGTTGGTGTGTGAAGATACTAAATTGTGTTACGTGGAAGATGAAAGTATTTTGAGATTTGGGACACAATAAATATAATATGAATTCAAAAATAGAAATCTTGTTTTATAACTGCCTATCAGAAGAGTCTAAGGCAAAGATGAATTTTTTAGTATAATTTTTCCTTAATTTTTTTACAAAATACTCACCACTTTTGAAGACCAGCACCTTTCTCATTTGCAGAAATCTTCCCATCATGCAGAGTGATTTAAGAACTCAGGTGCATTAAGCAGTTTGTTAAACTAAATCGCACTGAACATTGCATTGACAGATTAAATTAAAAGGCAGTCTCTTATGGAGCAGTCTCTTCCAAACATTTTTTAGCACTAGAATCTTTTTTAAGTAAACTTTTGTGTCACCCCAACACATAAAGCCTGAAAGTTCCATTTTATCAGTGTAGCTGTATTTTGAGTCCACATTTATATTTACTTAGTCCATTGCTAAGAATAAGATTTCTAAATGACACAAATGTGAAGTCGGGGTTATAGATCGTGGGTAAAACCCTCAGCAGCCAGTCTGTTTGTTTCTATGCCTTTATTTCATTTGCATACTCTTCAAGAGAATTTTGATTCACACAAACATAAGTAAGTACAAATAATAACAGGTTTTAAGCACACATTTCAGGAGATTCTTTACCTAGAGATAGCCGAAGTTGTATTCCCAGTTATCGTGTTAGTGGGAGTTTATACATACACAGTCTCCAGTATGGTAATACTCATCTGGATGTGCATTTTTATTAATGTTTTAAACTACATTCTTTTATAAAAACAAAATTTGAATCCGACTTTTTTGAATACCCTTAATCGCCTTCAGGAAGCTCAGTTTTGGCCAGGCATGGGTTGAAAACCACTGGTTAACCATATGACAGTTACCTTATAAATCAGAAGTCTTTTTCTCCCACGTTTGATTCCTTATTTTGAAAAACTGTACAATTTTATGGAAGTTTGAATACCAAAGCACAGCTCTTCTTTCAAAAAATCAAAATTCAAACTTGAATAATTTAAGCTATTTAATCCACAGATGGTAACACTTGGTAAGCTATAAAAGTGGTTTTTATCTACACTCTAGTTTATACATTTGCATCTTTATTTTTATCAATACCATATAAGCTACTGTGAGCATTTTAGAGAATAACATAAAGGTACTATGAGTGTCTGTATGTATATATAGCATTGTATTTAATCATAGACTGAATTTAATTTGGTATAGAAATGCTGCCATCCTTGTACATTAATGTCATGAGTCGTAGTTCCCTCTGGACTCTTTAATTAATGGGAGGTCATAATCGCTGTATTCATAAATGCATTCAGTCTGGAAATTGAACACCAGTGTTTGTGTTTCTTTCTCTACTAGTGAGAAGTTGTCTGCTTTCCCCCTTTAGCCAAAATAGTATTTTTTTTTTTTATGTTTTGTTCAGCTGTCAACTACGTTACGCCTGTACGCTATGCTATGGACGTAATTCTTGGATATTACCAAACATTCTTAGTGCTTCTTTATTTGGCCCATTGAAAGTATTGGTATTAGTATTTTGAATGAAATATCCTTTTAAAAATTAAAAAATATTAGCCTTTAAATTTTTAGAAACGAGGTGGGCCAGTTCTTTTTATTCCTATCTTTGGGTCATTGTGGTAGGTAGGTCTTGTCCTCCATTGTTAGATAAGCAATCGGGTTCATAACAGGATTGACGTAACATGACCAAATCAGGGGGATACAGAGAGAGGGGGACATATCCCAGGACAACAAGTATCATCAATAACATCTAATATGTTATATATAGACCTATATGTAATTTAAAATACTGCCAACCATGAGATGAAAAGCCATTGAATGTTGTAGACATCACAGACTTGTTATGATGAAAAATCAGTTGTCAGGTTGTTGAGATGATTGATTTTAAATCTGACTAAATATGTTTCTGTATTACTACAGCTTGAAATAATTTAGTTTGTCTTCCATAGACTTAGCTTTCTTTAGGTTCAGTATAATGTATATTATGAGTTTCCACGGACTGTTTGGTCAAGGGATTAACATAGCTTCTTGCTTCCTTTAGGTAAGAAGACATGGCTTTGTGTGAGTTCTTGTAACCTAAATCGATTGTTGATAATCACCCCAGATTTCAACAGCAAACTCTTATGTATAAATTTATTTCTCCCCTCTTACTCATCTTCTTTTGTAAAGATCTAATTGTAGATATTTCCTGCTACCAAATAAAACTTTTCAAACAATTTGGTTTCAAGACCATTAAGTAGTCAATTTGGATACTGAAACTGTGAACAAATAAGGATGTAAAAATTTATATTTCCAACCCTTCCTTACAGTCTGTGTCTAAATCAAAAACCAAATTCTGCCGTTCACTGTACTTCCCAGTCCTACTCCTATAGGGACGTTTTCTGTAGTGAGGACCCCACTAACTCATGCTAGCACGTAATAGTCATGCTCTAACTAAACAGGAGAGGCTTCCAAGACCACTGCCCATGCGTCCACCCATTATTTCTTCACCTAGCCAGCGCCACTAGTGAGGTATTGAGTAAAAGGCTGGTAAGTACTGGCCCGTGTGCAACCTTTACCGTCAGAAAATTCATTTGATACATAAAAATGGCTTAGCTGGGCTTTTTCATATCTATGAGAGTTTTCAGACAACTCCAGTGCTTCATAAAACCCCAAAAATTACCCTTGGTCAGTCATTTGGCCCTCCCAGTGCAGCACTTTGCAGCTCTGGCTCTGTCAGTAGATCATCTTTGGGAGGTTTGGGGAGGGTGACGTGATCGCCTTTGAGGTCATTCTCCCCCCACCCATCTTTCTGTCACCCTGTAAATGTGAAACCTCTGGATATGTGCAGGTAACTTCTTTGGGGGGGAAAATAAGCTGCTTTCTCTGATACCAATTTTGAATTACAGTTTTATTAGAAAGTTTTATGGAGAATAATTTGGCAATTCTGTGAATGTGTGTTATTGCATATTTAAAAGCTGAGTCAATAGTGAAAGGCATTTTGTTAACTGTGGTGATGAGTAACATTCCCCTCTTAGGTTCCCTCCTTTAAATTATACAAAGTTATTTTTTAATAAAATAAGTTAACACCTGTAGAAAATTAAGCTTCTAAAGTTTGTTTCTATAATTCATTAGACAGGCTTTTATTACTATTAATCATGGTTATGTTGGTGATTCACTTGTACCTCTGTGTGTCTCTGATTTTGTGATCTATGTGGTGCCTAGAACATTTGGAGTACTCAGTGTGTGGGACAACATATGATGGTACAAAAAAAAAAAAACAAATGTTTTAAAAGCCCACTTTCTCAAATACAGTATCGTGATGGTTAATGTGTCAACTTGGCTAGGCTGTGGTGCCCATGTGTTTGATCAAACGCTAGTATAGATGTTCCTGTGAAGATATTTTGTAGATGTGACTAACATTACCATAAGTAAAGCTTATCACCCTCCATAGCATGGATGGGCCTCATCCAACCAGTTGAAGGCCTTCAAAGCAAAAACTGAAGTTTCCCACGAAGAAGGAATTTTGCCTCAAGACCATAACATACAAGTCCTATGAATTTCCAGCCTGCAGACCTGCCCTACAAATTTCAACTTTGCCAACCCCCACAAGTTTGTGGGCCAATTCCTTAAAATAAATCTCTCCAATGGATGGCTAGGCGGATAGATGGATAGATTCTACTGGTTCTATTTTGATAGATAAATAGATACATACAGAGATGGATGGATGGATGGAAAGATAGATTCTTTCTCTGGAAAGCCTGTTACTTCATTATTCTGAGTTATTTATGTGTATATATGCATATATAAAGCAAGCAATGATTTTGAGGTTTAATTTGAAATATAAATTACAGGTCCAACTTGAATCCATTGGCAGCCTTTACCCCAAAAATATTTTCTTCTAAAATTAAAGTGTTGATGAATTTCTGAAGCCATTTACTTACAGTGAAACAGATTTCCACTCTACAGGCCATAAATCTTTGTCTTTCAGGAACCATTAAATTAGCATCTCCAAGGAGGAAAAGCAGTATGCAAAGAGGAACAGAAAGATTGTTGGCTTCTTGCTGGGTGGCATACAAAATCTATTAAGAACAATACTCCATTTGCTATGCTTGGGTTGTAGTCTTGACCCTTGTCAAATACTATGACTTTAATATATTTATTTAATTATCTCTGCTTTATATTTCTGTTTTTTATGTAGCACATATACCCTATGTACTTCTAAAACTATTTTTTAATCAACTTTGTAAAAAACAATGAGTCTGAAAGATGCTTATTCCAATCCTTAAATAAAGCAATGACTTCGGAATTCAGACTAAGAAGAAAATACTGTCGTCCCAGTTTGAGTCTACTGGATGAAAATTAAAGTCACTTTACTAGAGTATTTGCTACATATGTAGGACTATGCTAGGTGCTGTGGGAAACAGAGGAAATCTACACCAGCTTTATCTTGACAAGTTAGTATGTGTGAAGTAATGATATGGGACCATAAATAATGATATGGGACCAACAATGAGGTGCTGAGGCAAAGACCGTCCAAGGATAGCAGTCAAGAAGAGCTTCATAGAGATGGAGATTGAGAAGGACTTTGGAGGGTTGGCAAGAAGGAAAAAGGAGGGAGGGCATCTGAAAGAACAATATGAACAATTTGTTAGTTTGCTATTTATTAGTCTTCTGAGAAGAGGGGTGTGAAAAAGAAAAGAGGCAGAATGTGGAGAACTGTGTATTAGTTGGAAGGTTGTAAATATTACATCTGTTATTGAATGCTGTGTAACGAACCAAAATGTTTTGGCTTTAAAAAACTAATCATCCTCTAGTCTCATAGTTTGCATGATCAGAAGTTCAGGGGTGTCTTGGCTAGGCAATTCTGGCTCAGTTTCTATGAAAAGAAATCAAATCAGTTGAAACTGCAGTCTTCTTGAGAGGAAAGATCTGCTTCCAAGGAGGTTCACCCACGTGGCAGGCAGGATGGCAATTGGCAGGAGGCCTGTGTTCCTCTTCCTGTGCTTCTTCCAGAGCTGCTTGAGTGTCCTCATGGCATGGCGGCTGGCTTCCCCCAAAGCTAGTGTTCCCAGAGACCAAGCAGAGGCTTCAATGCCTTTTGTGACCTAGGCTTGGAGACCACATACTCTCGTCTCTACTGTGCTCTAATGGGTCATCCAGTCCACCCCCCGATTCATTGTGGAAGGAGACATACAAGAGTGTGAATACCAGGAAGCAAGGGTCCCTGGGAGCATCTTAGAGGCTAGTTGTCACAAGGGCAGAGTTGAATGTCAAGAGATGAGGCCAAAGATGGAGGGCCTGAAGGACCAAGGAACTCAAGTGCACTGAAGAATTAAGGACTCTAAACAGTCAGAACAAGACAAAGCTTGGAAAGAGCAGGCTACAGGAAGTCAGGAAATAGTTCTGAACCTGGATCTATGAGTTTAGCTGTGTGTTCTTGCAAATTACGAAGCTATTTGACAGTTACTGAGACACTGTGTTTTATATTGACTCTTACCTAATCCTCATAATACTGGGGAGTAGGTAATGCTATTCTCTCTAACCTTCAAGTTCCAGCTTAATTCCACAAGGCTTTCCCTCAACTCCCCCACCCAGGGGTGATAGCTTCTTCCTCTGAAAGTCACAAAATTGGTAACTTTCTTCTGTTTTCCATATTTGGCTTTGGTGATGGTATATTGGTTTGCTTGGGCTGCAATCACCAAGTACCACAGACTGGGTGGCTTAAACAACAGATTCATTTTTTCACAGTTCTGGAGGCTGGAAGTCCAAGATCAAGATGTAGGCAGATTTTGTTTCTTCTGAAACCTCTTTCCTTGGCTTGTAGATGTGGCCTCAATGTATCCTCACTTGGCCTTTTCCTGGACATGTGAGCCCTAGTGTCACTTTCTCTTCATATAAGGACACCAACCATGTTGAATTAGACCCCCACCTTATGACCCCATTTAATTTCCTCTTTAAAAGCCCTATCTCCAAAAACAGTCATAGTCTGAGGTACTGGGGTTCAGGTCTTCAAGACAAATTTCGGGTGGACAGAATTCAGTCCATAATAGATGGCTATGTTTGTCTCATCTACTCAGCTGTATGCACTTTAGAATAAAAACTAAGTCTTATGCATCACAGCGTCAGTCACATTCCTGGCAGGAAAAGATGTCCCACTCAAAGGAGTAACTGATGAGAGTTAAATGAAGGAACTATTGCATATCTATGGATTGGGTTAAGGGAACTAACAAGAGGTGATTAAAACCCTTAGCAGCAGTAAGAAGTCATTACCACTTTTAGAACTAAGTGGGCAAGTGGAGGGTGCCGTTACTGACACCCAACAAGAGCTGTCCACCAGCAGACACTTTGGACTTCTGTAGAAGGACACAACCACCGCCAAATGCAGACCAGCAGGGAGGGAGTCAGGTTACCTCTTCTGTGACTTGCCATTGGCTGAAAGCCACCAGCAGCCAGAAATAACCCAGGACATGTAATACATGGAGGTCATCCTCTCGGGCACTGGGCAAGGCAGAGGAGGGCAGAGGGCAGATCAGGTAAAGCAAACAGAGAAAATCCTTCACAGTCTTCATATTTATTACCATGAGAAAATGTAGGGTCTGGGGAAGACTTGTTTGCTTAACAGCTGATCCAAACTCCAGAACTAGAGTGCCATCCTGTATTTCAGAAGCTGTAAGGAAAAAACTACATTTTCCAGACATCCTTGCACCTAGGGCTCTGCCGTCATCAACTTTCCACCAGTCACATTCACTTAAACTCAGAAACAGTTCAGTGGAGAGGGAGGCAGAGCTCTGCAAAGCATCAGTGTTGATAAATCTAGTAGATGAAGCAACGGGTTCCTGATCCTTGGTCGACTGCTAAGATGGTGTATTCTTGGAGACACCGTCTGTCATGGCAGCTTCCTGCACCTGCGTGGCGCCATAGACATGTGATCTTGGACTCCACCACTAGTGAGTTGGTTTCCTGAACCCAGATACCTGATTGTTTCCATGTCTGGCCATTCCGTGGCATTGTTCTGAGAATCATGCCTAAGGCCCTACACACCTGTCAGTAATTGTAAACTCTATCTTCTACATTCCTTTTGGAATTACTTTTATGTTCCTTTTAAAATTACTAGAATGGCTTACCTTTGTTGAAAATAGACGCAGGGGCCAATTTTCTGCCTCTTGCATTCTGGAATAGTTTTTTTTTTCTTTTCTTATTCTCATATTGCAAAACTGTATGTTTAAAGAAAAAT